GTTGTGAAGTTGATGCAGTGGGTGCGTCTGTTTCTCTTCCAGAGAATGATGAAGGTGTTGGATATTGATGTGATGGTAGAGCTATCTCATACCATTGGGGAATCCAGCGATCTGGTATGCTCGATGCTCGATTCGTGTTCGGTATGCGTTCAGTATAGTATACAAATCAGCCGAGGTGTGATTCGGGTTTACATGCCCGTGGGTGTAACTCCGTCGACCACGTGGCTATGATGCATGGCTGATGGTGGTAATGCCATCGACTGAAAAGAATTCTCCGTAGTAAAAAAAGTTGGACATGTAGGGGTTTGGTGCATACATGCCACTGGAACAGAAAGACAAAAAAAAACACGAAGAAAGGAAGACCCATGCACCCGATGGGGATTGAACCCATGACCTTCGCATTACAAGTGCGACGCTACTACCACTGAGCCACGAGTGCATCTGTGGCGAATTTGCTGCCGAGTGCGGCTCATACAGCACCCAACGGACAATGGGGGAAGAAAATGTTAATGCTTCGCAAAAACAACTCCGAAGGAAAGTTCTTTCAATGCACCGAATGGGGTTTGAACCCACGACCTTCGCATTACGAGTGCGACGCTCTACCACTGAGCCACCGGTGCTTGTATGACTAATACTGCTACTGGGTAAAATCATGATGCTGAGAACGATGAGGGAGGTGAAAGAGAACAGGCGCAAAGCAGGACAAAAAGAAGAAACTGAAGGGTTGCATCTGATGGGGATCGAACCCACGGCCTTCGCATTACGAGTGCGACGCTCTACCACTGAGCCACAAATGCTTCAGTTGGTATGAGTGGCGACTTGCATAAAATATATAGCTAGAAAGAAAAAAGCGAGTCGGGGCTGCGGTTGGGTGTTGATGGTTTGGGTGCTGTCTTGTGGGATTTTAGGTGGGTTCTGGTTTTGCTGTTTATGCTGCTTGATTTTTGTGTACGTATGTTGATATACTCGGCATTTAGTATTGCATGTTCTTTGTCTTGGAACATGGCTTGCTGATGAAAGGGCATCGACATGTATGCTGGCCTGCAATATATATGCAACCGAGCTGGGACAATCCCCAGTCGTCTACCACAGTAAACAGGTCACATATGTTGTTGAAACACACTCAGCCCACCCAATTGCACAAAGCACATCGCGATATCCCATCGACTATCATAAGATAGGTATTGTTCATACCGGGTTGTCTGCAACCGCAACCCCGCAATTGACTGCAGCCAACCCTGCAAGGCTGCAACATCCACAATGTACGGAGTACGGTAGATAGATCTCATCGACCACCCCCCCCAGTCAGATCTGAGACGGCCATCGATCACCCAAGGTGCCTCCCGCCTACCGGCCCAGAGAAAACTGCAGCTGGTCGCTAACATTCACTAGCTCGGCAGATGCCACTCTATCCCCTACAAGCCAAGACTTTCTCGAAATTCGGGCGGGACCCCAAGATCGAAGAGCCAGAAGCCTTGATATCGCCTAATGGCGAAACAGCGAATAACTTAAGGTACCCTATGTCGTGGAGCCTAGACCAGAAGCGGGTTGATATTGACACAGAAGGAAAACAGAGGGGGATAATCTCCCCGCCAACGATGGTGGTGTTGTTGCTGCAGAAGTAAACCCCCCCCCGGCGGAAGCAAGGGCCGGGCCATAAGCGAGGGTCGCTATCAATTGACTCAGAGTGTCAGACATCGTTGGATGTGCACGAGACCTTCGCAGATGATGGCGGTCTAGATCTCCATGAAGGCCGAGGCCGGTGCGAGTATAGAGGAGGCCTTGGACACAGGCGGCGATCATAATCTCCGTCCACGTCCAATGCGGCTATATCACCATCAAACCGAAACCTATCCCTCTCTATACATGTCAGGCGAGTGCAAACCCGATCTTCGAGGCCGCATGAAACCTGAGTACCACCAAAGAACTCAGAGCCCCAAGCAGCGTGAGGGAAATGGGTTCCTCGGGCTATACAGAGGTCAGGGGAGAGGTCAACTTTCGAATGTAGGTAACACGCCAACCCCAACACCAGACCCCAGAAGATGATTGGTGAGTTACAGTTCACTCAGATATATTGCCCGACATATCATCACGACTGTGCATTGGAATTAGATGGGTATGCTTCACAGCAGACCGAGTCACATAAAACGGGCTAAGAAAAGTTTCCCAAAGACTTACAATTTCGAGGTGCCGTGGGCCAAGATGTCAATCCTCTTGGACCATCCTGTCATCTAGATACCGGACAAGCCAAGAAGCTGTCATCATTATGCGATCGGCTGGATTGACGCTCGATGCAATATGCCGTTTTCCTGCGTCGAAAGTGATACTCGACATGTCGCGCCAGACAGAAAGCGACACCAAATTGCCCGGTCGATGATGACATATCCTGAAGTAGTACAACTGACCGATTAAGGGTTCGACACCCACTGCACTGAACCTGAACCCTGTTGCCCAGCAGGCGGAATTCTGAAGCATCCCCTGACACACACGTGTGCGCCATAACCCGGTGGCAGTGCCGGTACACAAACTTACAATGTTGGCGGATGCGCCCTGATGTTTCAAGGGCCATGCCACCAGAAAGAGGTGTCAGGGCATCAGTCAAAATGTTTAGAACGTTCCATGGGTCGTGTGCACAAAGTGCACAGAAGTTGCTGTCGGAGAAAATTCTGACAATTTTTCATACTATTTCATGTCATCTGGACCAACATTTTGGGACGTCTCTGGCATCCAGAGCCGAATCAACAGATTACGAGTGTCAATGAGCCTGGAACCATGGGTGAGATAACCGACCCCGACTTCGGGGAGGAGGATGAGGGGGCATGGATGGCACGATTCACCGGCCGGACCGAACAAACGGGACGCTGACTCCATAACTAGGCACTGGCGTTCATTTTCCCTTCTCACTTCGCTCTTTCTTCTTTTCCAGGTTCCAAAGTTCTAGACTCGACTCCATCGTCGTCCCCATCCTGGTCTCCATCATCGTCAAAGCAACAAAAGGGAGACAACGAAAGGCAGAAAGTGATCAACTCATTTCCACGCCCGTGTGCTGAGACAATCTCGCCGGGGGGGGGCAAAAGTGGACAGGCGTCTCGTCTCGATCACCCAATCTCCGCTTTCCAGTTGGGGGGATTTGGCCCAAGGTGAAACATTAGCGGGCGCCAGGCGGGCTCCAGATGGGCTGCCGAGTTGCCAAGTTTTTAGGTCGTCAATCATTGCTTCCGGTTTGCTGACTTCGTTTACTGTTTCTCGCATTCTAGGACCAATGAGGAAGTTACTACAGTTACTGAGTAAGATTATGGGCTTCTTTTTTACATTAGTATTCTTTGTCGATTGTATGTGCAGGCCTGCTTTATGTTTAACGCTCATTTGAGAGTGCTTGGGTGTATAGTGGTTAATCTCGCCGAGTTCCGATGGCTGAAGTTTAGTCAGGTCCCGAGTGTTGGCGGCTCTCCTGGTTGACTCGTGTATTGTGTGCACCACCAGTTGTCCAATGTTATGCACGGACATTAGACACCTCGTCTGGTAATTACCCTCGGAAATTAAGACAAAACCGTCTCGACTCCTTTGAGTGTTTGTTGTTCCTCGTTCAGCTGACTGAACAATTAAATTCGATAAAGCCGATACTGGATGATGTGGGTAGACAATGGAGATAAAGAGCCATTCAAGCTACTATCCATACAATCATCTATTCACTCATTCAATCCATCCACTTATCCCCATCATCAATCAAGAAAATGATAAATTCCGCAATGCGCAATGTAAAGATGGCCCAAGTGGAGCCAGCACCACCACCAATCACTCAAGCGATCGACTCTGATTTGCCCGATGGGGGACGGTACCTGAAACGGGCGGCGGCATCAACGCTGTTACTCGTCCCAATTGGGATTAGTGGCAGCCAGGGGGAAAGCACAGGAAACCATTCAATGTAAACGACCCAGGGGTTGCAACAACTCCTGCAACAGAAAAAAAAAAGAAGACATGGAATAACGAATCATCGATTTTTCTTGGACCCTGACACCATAAGCAAAGAGATTCCTTGTGTTCCCTTGTGTATCAGAGCAGTCATGAGTAGGAATGTATCGGACTGGAAGCATGAAGGATTTTAAATGATCTTCCCTGGTATGTGGTTGGGAGATCCCACGAGGAGGCGTCCATCGGAATGGACGCGTGAAGAGGCGCTTAGTCGCCTGGATATTAATGACCAGCGGGGACCTACCTCTTAAATTGAGCGTGTAAAGAGATTGAGCTCTACGTATGTCGCCTACGTTTTCTCTTAGTTGACTGGAAGAGAAAAAGGCGATGCCTCCCACTCTTCCCCCCCCCAATCCCCGGTCCGCCTCGTCATCGAGATCGGTCTAGAAAGACTAAGACTATAATCACTCAACAACTAAACACCCACTACTCACTACTTTTCTCTGAACCCACTGGTCTGGTGCTTCTGAGAAAAAGCTTCCCCGTCCGAAAGTAATTTACTTTTAATTATCAACGATCGCCCGACCCCACCAGGGACACGCCGCCCGCTGGAGCCCTTCTCCTTTCCGTCATTACCTGCCCGCCCCAGCGAGATCCCGCCGTCGCCGTTCCAGACTATATTATCACTTCCTCCTCCATCCCTCCCCAATCTCTTGTCTCTTCCTTCCTTACCGTTGGCCTCACCTCACCTCACCCCCCCAACTTTTGCTTCTTTCCCTCAACTTTGCCGTTGGTACACTTTTTTCACTCTTTCAAAAAGTGTTTTCCACGGCGGTCACTCTTTTCAACCTGTCTATACGCACCCTGGTGATACGTAAATACTTTCCCTCCCTCCAACGCATCTACCTCTCTCGCAGTCGATCTGCTTGTTGCTTAACGGAAACACTCTTCGTGCTTTCGAGTCCTTGCCTGGTCCATCGGTCAAATAGCTTCCCGGAGAAGTCGTTGCTTGCAAACGGACACAGTTGACCTGTGAAAACACATCTCAATCTTCATCAAAACAGTCAAAACAACATCAACCACTCAACATGCGTTACTCCCTCGCTCTGAGCGCCCTCTGCGCCGCTGGTGCCTTGGCCCACAATGTTGACAAGCGTGCCTACGTGACTGACTGGACGGTCGTGACCCTGACCACCACTATCACCGAATACCCTGCTGCCGCCGCTACCACCGCCGCTGCTGCTACCACCACCGCGGCCACGAGCGCTGAGCCTGCAGTCCAGGTAGCTGATGTCGCTGACGTCGCTGCTGAGGCCTCCACTGTCGCTGACGTCGCTGCGGTTGAGACCAGCTCTACTGTGGCTGTCCCTGTTGTTGAATCGACCTCGACTTCGACGAGCACAACCGAGGCTGCCCCTACCGTTGCTGCCACCACCGAGGCTGCTACCACTGCGGCCCCAACCACCGAAGTTGTTGCCACCACCCCTGTTGTGCAGGAAGCTGCTGCCAACGGCGCCTGGACCACCGCTTGGACCTCTTACTGGACTTCGTCCTGGACCTCTGCCGCGGAACCCACCACTCTTGCAACCTCAACCTCCACCTCCACCACTGAGAGCGCCAGCAGCACCGCGACCGCCAGCACTGCTTACCAGTCCGCTGTTCTGTACAACCACAACATCCACCGCAGCAACCACTCCGCAAGCTCCTTGGATTGGGACTCTTCCCTGGAGTCTAGCGCTTACACCCTTGCTGCTAAGTGTGTCTACGAGCACGATACGTAAGAAATCCCTCAAATCCACGCTTAAGATTGATAGCTAACCATTCACAGTACCATTGATGGTGGTGGCTATGGTCAGAACATCGGTTACGGTGTCGAGTCTAGCGCTATCGGCGAGATGATCACCAACTTGATGTACAACGACGAGATGGGCTACTATGCCGATCTGTACGGAGAGGCTGACCCCGACATGACCTACTTCGACAACTGGGGCCACTTCTCTCAGATCGTCTGGAAGGGTACCACGAAGGTCGGTTGCGCCACTGTTACCTGCGCCAGCCTGGGTAACGTTGATGCTGCCGAGGCATTGCCGTTCACCGTGTGCAACTACAGCCCTGCCGGTGAGTATTCTCTGAGACTCAAACATGATATGCGGTTGACTAATGGTGTGCAATTAGGTAACTACGCCGGTGAGTACGGCACCAACGTTGGCGAGCCCCTGGGCAACGCCATGTATGTTGCTTCTTAAGGATTGAGACGTGCTTTCTTGTTTCGCCCGACTGTGTTCGGAGACGGCGGTCCTATTACTTTCCCGACATGCAACATCCAGGCTCTCGAAAGCTATGACGAGTAGCTGGCCCTGATTGCCTGGAGTGAATCTGTCGACATGGTTCGAGTTATGCCTTGGTGTGAACCTCAAACCCTGTGGCAAGGATATGGGACTACCCCCGGATATTTGACCGTACGCGAGCAAACCAATCGAACAATGAAATGTCTGACACTTTCTCGCTCTTTTCCTTTATGCGTCCTGTTCTTCTTCCCGCTTTCTTCATACATACATGACCTGGTTTATTTTGACTTTGCGTGTATGTGTGTTTTCTTCCTGTTGCCTTTCCATCTCGTGCTGGTTTGATGCCTGCCCAACCCCGCCAAGATTTCTTGTTGACGTGAAAAAAAGAGTAAACGATCTGCAGCGCCTCCATTCCTCAGCCAAGCCACACCCATGATGGAGACTCCACTCGGCCAGATCTGGCAGCACGTGTTGGGCGACTTTATTTCTCTTCTCTTGTGCATATTTACTCACCTTGGTTCACTCCATGAAGCCATGTTCATTGTAGTGCCATGAATTATTTGATTGACCATCATCTCGTGTTGTGTGATTTAGCTTGCATTCGGGTGTTTTGAGCGTGTATCTTCTCATGTGGCTATGTGTGCCCTGAATGCTGCATAAGATTTGATACTTATGTTAGAAATCAATAAAGACCTGAAATATGATATATTACTGGGTAGCTTAACTGGTAATGGCAGAGTTGCAGTGTTTAGGAAATGGAAATATGAACTTCGTGAAGCTTCGTTTCTTGAGACTGCCTGCCTGAGGCACCGAGGCAGTACACTAGGCCCGTCTCTGAAGGCAGCGAAGAGCGCACAGCTTCTCTGCTCGGAATGTGAGTAGTATCTTTCATGATAGCCTTGCTAATGGGCGGTCTGACAGTATGTCATCATGAACAATCTTACGCCGAAGAGATGTACTCGTATCAGTCCTCCCCGCCCGAACGGAATGTACATCTCTGCCTGAGGCAGCAGAGCTGCCTACCGCCTTGGGACAAGAATTAAGGTTCTGGGGACAGAATCACGGCTTCGATCCCCCGCAACCAACCAGACGAACCTCCCTTCGCCCGAAACGTCATCAGCCACCTGGGCATCTGTGCTGCCCGCTGCGACCCTTGGCCTCACTGCATTGCATCAATCAATTAGTTGATCGTTCAATCAAATCAATCAATTTATCAACCCTGGTGCTTCGGCTCTGTCTCAACTCGTGGCTACATACCGCTTCTGATGAACTAGTAGCTACTACTGTACCTAGGCAAGGTACTATTTTCTCGCTAGACTCGCTCACCCTCGCCATCTCATCTATCTCATAGGCTTCCGATTGGGTGTGCTACTTGTTCCCCCAGTTCGTATTACGGTCATCATCATCGATACCGGTGCTTGGTGGCTCTTACCGTCTTTCACATGACGCTCACTGTCTCTAGCTGCTGGCATTGAAGCCCCCGCCTCTTCCATCACTTACAGCTGAATCCCACAGACGCATTCCTCCTACCCGTGGGAAGGTATAGCCTCAAGCTGAGAATCGGTGATACTTTGACTGTGAGTTCTCGACTCCGCTAGAATTTTGTTGTGTTATCTGCATTCTGCATTCGTTGCCTTGTTCTTGGCAGACAGGCAGGACCCTTTCGTATGCTTTGTGCCCTCTGCCCCATCATGTCTGCCAGCCAGCCTTCCTCCGTTCCCCCGATCCGACCTCCATTACCTTAACCTTTGACGCGGCTGCGGATGGAGTAGCCTGGTTCGAATGCGCAACCGTGGTTCGCTCGTTTTGACTCGACCCTCGACTGTGACCGTCCCTTCGGCGTCCGGCCAGTCTCCCATTTCCCCGCGCTGAGACGCTAGCTTCTCCCTTATCCCCGAATGTACCTGGGGATGTCATCCCGACAGCCCTTTGGCTGCTCGTTCCTTAATAAAATACGCCGTCCTCGCTGCGGACTTTACCCTTTCCCTGATGACCTCAATCTCACACATTTCCCTCTTGATACAATCTTGCCCTCTTGCGGTCGACGTGCGACGTGCCTTGAGGTGAAGCCCCGTGACTCCGGTGACTCCGCCGTGGTCATGAGATAATCCTCCTCCATGCCCTCCTACTGTCTCCAAGATTGTCATTATTTCAAGCGCAGCGCCTTGCGCCTCTTATCCATTCCTACCTTCCTGGCTTGTCGCTACGCCTAGTTGATTAGACCCACGATCGAAAGAACCTTACCTGCTGACATCATGTCTTACTCGTCTGTTGCAGTGCGTTATTTCACAGCCCCCAAGCCGCTGGGAAAAGCCATGGAGCCTGCTCGATCCCAACCGTCGTCAACGCCCTTGACAGTGAACGGGTCGGCCAAACAGGGATTAACGTTTGCCAACCAAGACTCCCTCCCCAAGCTGCCTATTCCCGAGCTGGAGCAGACTTGCCAGAAGTATCTCGAAGCCTTGGCCCCGTTGCAGGCACCTAGGGAGCAAGACGAGACGAAAGCAGCTGTCCAAGACTTCCTCCGGTCAGAAGGACCCGTTCTTCAGGAGAAGCTCAAGAACTATGCTTCATCAAAGACAAGTTACATAGAGCAATTCTGTATGTTGTCACTCATGGTGATCGGATTTTCTTGGCTGACGCTCGTTCAGGGTACGATTCTTACTTGAATTATGATAGCCGTAAGATACCTTTTCCATCAGAACATCAGGAGGAGTAAGCGAGGCTGACCCACTACTAGCTGTTGTTCTGAACCTCAACCCTTTCTTCCTGCTGGAAGATGACCCCACTCCTGCGAGAAACAACCAAGTGACGCGGGCAGCTTCGCTTGTCGTCTCTGCTCTGTCCTTCGTCCGAGCCGTCAGGCGGGAGGAGCTGCCCCCAGACACTGTCCGAGGTACTCCTTTGTGCATGTATCAGTACTCTCGTTTGTTCGGAACAGCGCGCGTGCCCACCGATAATGGATGTGTTATCAGTCAAGATCCTCATGCAAAGCATATTGTTGTCATGTGTCGTGGCCAGTTTTACTGGTTCGATGCCCTGGATGAGAACAATGACCTGATCATGAACGAGAAGGATATCGCTGTCAACCTTCAGGTCATAATCGGCGATGCGGAGCAGACTCCTATCCAGGACGCTGCGAAGGGGGCCCTTGGTGTGCTGAGTACAGAAAATCGTAAGGTCTGGTCGGGTCTGAGGGATATTCTCACCAAGGACGAAGGCTCAAACAACGCGGAGTGTCTGAACATTGTCGATACCGCGCTCTTTGTTCTCTGCCTGGACTACACGGAACCACACAACACCTCCGAGCTTTGCGCGAACATGCTCTGCGGAACAAGTGAGGTCATCAGAGGAGTCCAAGTTGGCACGTGTACGAACCGTTGGTATGACAAACTGCAAATTATCGTTTGTAAGAACGGTAGCGCGGGCATCAACTTTGAGCATACCGGCGTTGACGGACACACGGTGCTTCGATTTGCCAGCGATGTCTACACTGACACAATCCTCCGCTTTGCCCGCACCATCAACGGCCAAGCACCTAGCCTGTGGGCAACATCGAGCCCGGATCCTGCTAAGCGTGACCCTCGGAGTTTTGGCAACGTCAGCACAACTCCGCGCAAGTTAGAGTGGGACATGGTGCCCGAGCTCAGCATTGCCTTACGATTTGCAGAGTCGCACCTGTCTGATCTCCTTAAACAGCATGAGTTCCAAGTGCTGGACTTTACCGGATTTGGCAAGAATTTTATCACCTCCATGGGGTTCTCACCCGATGCGTTTGTACAGATGGCGTTCCAGGCAGCATACTACGGGCTTTATGGGCGACTGGAGAATACCTACGAGCCAGCCATGACCAAGTCCTTCCTGCACGGCCGAACAGAGGCCATTCGGACGGTCACCAGCGAATGTGCTGATTTTGTCACTACCTTCTGGGGGGAGAACCCGGCGGAGCAGAAGGTGAATGCGCTTCGCAAAGCAACAGAGAAGCACACGGCCATTACGAAGGAATGCTCTAAGGGTCAGGGACAGGACCGACACCTCTACGCACTGTACTGTCTCTGGCAGCGATCCTTTGATGACGGGGCGTCGTCGGCCAGCAACAGTGTCTCAGAAGGCACCAATGGCTATGCCAGCCCTGTAGATGGCGAGTCGATCTCATCGCCGAAATCTTCTGGCCCGATGTCAGAAGATGGGCTTTCGTCGACCGGCTACAGCATTCGTGGCGTGCGCACCATGCCGGCCATCTTCAGTGATGCTGGTTGGGACAAGATCAACACCACGGTGCTGTCGACTTCAAACTGCGGGAACCCGTGCTTGCGCCATTTCGGATTCGGACCGACTTCCGCGGATGGCTTCGGAATTGGCTACATAATCAAGGATGACACGATCTCGTTCTGTGCCTCCTCAAAGCATCGCCAGACCCAACGATTGATGTACACACTGGAGTCTTATCTGCTCGAAATCCGGAAGCTGCTGCGTGCCATCAATCAGCGACCGGCGAGTCCGCGCACAAGCCGGGCCCGCGAGATGGAGATGATCGGCGAGCGGCTCCAGAGTGATCACCGCCGGGGCCGGATCGTCCGGAGCGACGCGAGCCATCGGGGGGCCGAGACGCCCACAACGGACAGCGGAGATATAGAGGATGATGGAATGGGCGGATGTAAGTTCTTTCCCCCCCCCTTGTGTTTTGAGTGATCAAATTAGGCAGTTGCTAACAGGAGACCTATCAGATGGGTTCTTCGACGCCGGGATGTTGCTTCATGCACTGAAGGGGATCAATGCAGACCGGGAGCGTGGCACGGACAAGCCGGAGAAACGGCGATTTGTCGGGAAGAAGCTGCGGCTGAATGACTATTGATTATGTCTTGTGCGCTTCTTTCTACATTTTTATTTACATTCTTAGTCGGTTAGCCGTGGATTGGTGTTGGGTGTATATCGTTATGTTTTATTGTATCTAGTTA